CAGACAGGCATGCAGGTCACAAGCACGCACACACAGACAGACTTAGAAAACACAGCAGAATGCGGGAATCTCATCAAGGCATCCATTCCATCGGCAGAACTTCAGAAATCAGCATTGTTCTCAGTCTGTGTTATGACGGGTCATTACATATTGAGCTTGCAATGCCAATGATAAGAATGTCGTACGTACTATGTACACATGTTGCGCATGGTCCACATTATAAGTTAAAATTGTATGCTTTTTGCTGACCTATGGATGTACCTTGTGGCAGGCGGCAATCCTATGGGGGAACTGCACTTCTTCAAATCCATCTTGCTGTTTTCTCCACCCTTATTCACCGGGCTAGGAGGTTCTTTCCTCTCGGGTCTGCACATGAAATTTGGGAGGAGTTCAGGTGATTTTCCCTCCTCCCCCTCCATCACCTGCCTCCCCGCTCCACCCCCCTTTCTTTTTGTTCTCTCTTTCTTACATTTTTGGAAATAATAGCAGCCTCCACATACAATGAGAACAGAAGTCTTTGCAGGTACTGCGGAGGGCTTGGCAGGAAGTGCAGAGGGAGGAGGGAGGAGATAGAACACCCATGAGACTCGCCAGCTGTGGTTATGGAAACTGTGGCGGTTTTCGTTGAGGTGCAACTCAAATTCGCAAGGGAAATAGAGGACAGTGGTCATTCTGCTATGATTCTAGTGGTGACTGGGTCTATTAGACTGTCCATGTCCGTGCACCTGCAGTATGGGAAGGACGGGACACCCCACTAGCAGGAGAATGGGCTCACATGTGAGCTGATTGATTCTCAACCATGCAGATCTGCCGCCATTTGATGGCTGGCAGACGTTTTTACTGACTTCAATTGTCAGGAATAGGCTGCTTGCCTCACTGTACAAAAAGGAGGACAAATTGTTTGCTACTGTTTTAACTGGCAGAATCAGATTACCATGAGAAAAAAATAGATAGCCTTTTTGTCGGTTGTAATAATTTCAAAAAATTCATAATTCACTGGCATTGTTTGTTTTCTTTCAAGCCCTTCATAATATTTTTCTTTTGGTTTTTAGTTTTTTTTATTGTTTGCCTTAACTCGAAATATTACCATCCCTGCAGCAAAATGGTACGATGCAAATAACTGTTTCCAAGCAGATCGTATGCTGAAATCCTGATGGATACAACACCGGGGTCTAACTGTGGGAAACATGAGTCAAAGGGATTTGGCATTTTCAGTCTAGGGTCGTGTCTTCAGGTCTTAGTGCAAGCTTTGGGGCTAAAAGTCACACTCTAGGGCAAGAAGTGGCCTGAGACGTCCCTCGTGTCAACCCAGCCGGGGTACGGAGGCTCAGACACACGAAGTCTAATGAATGTGCGTGCATTTGTGTGCTGGATTCCTAGACATCCAAGGAGCAGAGGGTCGAACTGCCATAGAATGTGCTGAGCTGAATGACCTGAGCGCATTTCTTTGTGTTTGGCTGTGGCTTTCAGGCCAGGATTTTCAGATCTTGATCACAATGATGCCATGGAAGCTGTTGGTTATCTTGCACTCTTCATGCCTACTTGCAGGGCTAAGCAGCTCGGTGAACGATGGGATGAATCTGGTAAATGGAGGTACGAGCAGTGTCTGAAGTACATGAGCATAAAGCAAGTTTTGCTGCCTGTTATGATGTTGATGAACATAGCAAGTGTGTTAATATGAAAGGACGTGTCAGTGATTGATTTGTGATTTATATGAAACAGCGAAACCATGGTGGAGGTATATGGTTATATGAAAGGGAAACAGCGAAATCATGGTGGAGGTATGATTATATGAAAGGGTGAAACAGCTGTTGAGGTGAATGCATGCTGAGTCACTGACTGTGGTCATTTGTCAGTTGCTGCCTATCTGTGGCTGCATATTTGTCTTTACCAGAATTTAGCCATCGAACTTGAAATTTCATGTTTTTATGTTATATATTCCAGCATCAAAACGAAATTCTGAATTCTCTACAGAGGCTCAATTAAAATATTCATTTTAGGTGCCTCTTCCTCTGGGATTTTTTCATTTGGTTGTTCTATGATTTATGGATTTACAGGAGTTTGAAGAATTAGCAAAAACGAGAAAAGCGTGAAAAGCATACAAGTAGAGAGTAGAATTAACAAGGTAGGAGAAGGAGAGGGGGTGGGGGGGGAAGGGGGCAGTGTTGGCTAATTGCCATCATGTCCTTTGAGCCTATCTGCAGCTGAGGCAGAGCTCCAAGAGCCTTACCTTAGGTGCAGCCTGTGCCTTGGGGAAACGGATGCCGCAATATAGAAAGCGCAATAAGTGCAGTGTGGAACCGTGCGGCTTTGAAGGTTTGGTACTAAAAAGAGGAGAAGGATGTGCCTCATTGTGAAGCAGTCTGTCTATTGGAAAGGGTGCATCACTTCTGACTCGTAGCAATGACGCACAATTTTTGACTGGTGGCTTCCTCCATCCGTAATGGAGCTGTAGTAGGTGTAGTGACAAAGAAGATATAGTCATAGACAAGGAAGAGCAGGAAGCCGGAAGAGCAGAGGGCAGTCGAGTAGACGAGGAAGAGGTACAAAGAATGGAACACTTGGAGGAAGAAATACGAGTAATGTGAGTTCATCAATACACAAACGAGTCTTGAAATGCGTTAGCTTACATGGAAGTTTCAAGCTTCTGGTCCAATGCCTGTGCCTGAGCTCATACGAAAACAGACTCTGAACATAAAGTATAGGAGGAGGCTGTGTGCCATCGAACAATTAAGCCCATGTCACGGCGAAGTGTGAATTTGGGGACTGTGCATGGCATGCAATATTCATCAGACTGACCAGGGCTCATCATTGTGATTATCCTGGCTCGGTCTGATCTGGGGCTGTACTCGTTCTTTACTGCTCGCGTTTCTCAGGACTTGGAACAGTTTGCTGAATTTTGCGTTGTTAGGCTGTGGGTGATGCAACCCTAAATTATTGTTTCTTCTTTTTGTGTTTTTTTCCCCTTTTCTTTCTATTCCCCTTGTTTTCAGCTTATGGGTCGAGGAGTGGATGGAATTGTGGAGTGCAGTTCCTCGCTGCAACTACTGGGGTCTGAAATGGCTCTCTCTTCTAACAAGATGCATGAAGCACCTCCCAAGCCATGCTGTTAACTGGGAGCCTCATGTTCCCAGCCTTTTTGCTCTTTTCCTGAATGCTTTTGAGGTGAGTGTGATGAGCTTATGTGCAATACATTTTCCAAGATTGTCAACGAGTTTTGAATTTGATACGCACTTTATCAATGTCCTACTTTTCTTGCATCAAATGAAAAGCAATTGCGGATAACGGGAATTGAACCCATATCCCCTGCTTGGAAGGCATACAATTTACTTTTGGAGCCTTCTCGTCTATGTTCACCGAATCTCTGTTGCGGGAAATAATTGTTGTATGCTGTGACTGGGAACCAGATGTTTGCAGCCGCCTTGCTCGTTTCCGCAATGCGTGTGGGGTATAAGCGATCGATGACGAGTCTGGCACTTCCAGTTACTCATTTTTTGTCCCTGCACGCTTCTGTCTGTTCTTATGCGAGTTTTGGTCCTCAGCATTGTTCCCTGAATTTCTGCTAAGGATTCTGTGCGTATAGTCATATGCTATGGCCTGGGGCCAGTGCAAGAGCAATGTTAGAGTGCCATGAAGGTGGGATTTCAGAAAGCCAATTTCATTATGGAGACTTGTACCTGGGTGATCTCTTTCCTTGAGGATGAATGCGATTCCGTCAGTAGGGACCATGATGTTCTCTTTCCGTGTCTGTTTGTCAGTCATCGGACGAACAGGGGGCATTTCTCAGACTCTGCAGCACAACAGTAGGGATATGGATGAATGAATACCATCTGAATTCAGAGCTCGAGGTAGAGCTTTAATGTCACAGTTTGGCCTGCATCGGAGGGTACTTTTTTCCGCAATTTTGGGGTGGTAATCCACTTCAAGGTATCGTATGGATGGGGCTAGTCAGGAGTTCAGTTGCTGATGGCAGCCCTATCAGGTTACTGGAACACATGGCTGCTCGACAGTGGTAGCAAACATCAAGAGAGGGGTTGTATGGAAGGGGTTTAAGGGTTCAATCTCCAATTTACATTGTCCCTTGTGGGAAATTAAGGGTGTTTTTAGATAGGTGGTCATGTATATGGGGGGACAATCTGGTCAGATGGTGCATGGATCTAGGGCAAGTTTGGGGAAGTCTTGCATTTGCCTGTGGACGCTGGTGCTGCTGGGGCTTCAAGGCCTTAGGGTGTGTGCAAGAGTTGCTAATGCAGGAGAAAAGGGTGGCCATGCCCCAAAAGTTCAGTGACTTTTGTCTTGGGGGCAGTTCGCTGAAATTTTCTGACAAAATAGGGACGAGCATGTGCATTGTCGGTGCAACGTGTATGTGTGCCAACACACACACACACACACACACACACACACACGCACGCACGCACGCACACGCACACACACACACACACACACACACACACACACACAGAGAGAGAGAGAGAGAGAGAGAGANACACACACACACACACACACACAGAGAGAGAGAGAGAGAGAGAGAGAGAGAGAGAGAGAGAGAGAGAGAGAGAGAGAGAGAGAGAGAGACTCTGAAAGGGTTGGGAAATGCCATAGTACGCATGCACCAAGTTCTTGACATTGAATGTGATTTAGGCCTCTGAAAGAATTCAGAGATGGTGTCTTCATGCTATTAGGTTACATATGCCTATGTCTATGTATGTGCGCCTGAGTACGTTATCTGGTTTCTGTGTGTCATGGCTCTCTGCGCTTGTGGGTGGGGCTGTGTGTATTGGTCAGGTTCCTGTTGGGAAATGTCAAGCACAGTCGCCCATTCATAGGGGAGCTCCCAGCGAAGCAATGCGAATGTTTTGGCCAAACCAAAGTGGCGTACTGTCGAAGATAATTACAAAAGCAATTGTAAGTTGTAAGTTGTGTTGTGCAGCGGTACATGGAGGAGGAGGAGGAAGGGATAACGATGGGTGATTTTGAGTATGCAAGGTCACAAAACATTTGCAAACCCGACAAGAAGAAGAAGAAGATTGTGGGGGGGGGATTGTGCTCGATTGCAGTGTTTTTGTTCCTTCTGCCTGTATCTCTCTTGTCCCTGCACAGAGAAAGAAATTCCCGTTCTCGTTACTGTGTCTTGACTCTTTAAACTCTTAACTATACAGTCTGCTAGGATTGCAAGTTTGATGCGAGTGAAGTCGGTCGCTGCTCTGAATTGTATCACCTCTCCTTGAGCGAGGCAGTGTCATGTACTGGTGGTTGTGGAACCTCCTGACAAGATTGTTAAAGTCCGGCATGCGGCGTTTCTTAGGAGGATGACACACCTAAAAACTGTCTGCAACAGTGATGGCTTTTCATTGTGGACTTGCATCTTTAGTGAAGATGGCAAACAGCCCTTCTTAATGGTGGAATTTTGCAGCAAGGGCTGACTTGTAACGATTCGTACTACTTTGGCTGAATGTGTGTGTTGAGCAGGTTTTGTGGTCATGCGACTATGGATGAGTGCATGTGCTGAACAGATTTTGTGGCAGCGACAGACAAGTTCTGCTGCCATTGTGGTTCTTGTCAGGGGGTCTAAACTATACATAGGATTGCAAGGTCTGACTGAGGGAATGTGTCTGACTTAGCGAATGTGACTACGAGCATAACTTTATCTGGTGGCTCGGCCAGGCATGACCTTCGGGCAGAGTCCTGTGCAGCCCCAGTGCAAAAAGCAAAAAGAGTACATATACGCTGTGTGGAATTGCAATGCAGACACGAAAAAAAGTATATATATGCTGTGTGGAATTGCAATGCAGACACGTGTTGGCTGAGGGTCACCTCAGGACCTTACTTAGCAGATGAAAAAATCAAACTAAGGCACCCTGCTAACTGCAATCCGCCCAGATTTTGAACGAGGACCCGTGTCACACCAACAAACACGCTCCAGAGCACCAAAATTCGAAACCAAAGTAGAATTATGAGTACTCAAGGTTGCTCAGAAATAAAGGACTTTTACAAAAAGTTTGTATGCTTCAATCTGGGCAGCTATGGCCTCCGTAAACAACCACCAAGGATGAACTCTTGCGCTTGATCCTCGGGCCTCACTCTCTCTCTCTCTCTCTCTGTGAATGTCTTCTCTCTTCCTTGCCTATTTCACAGTACAGCTATGGCGCTCAACGCCTGTCGACTACTCCCGCTCATCACTTGAGCACTACAGCGCAACAGCACTTCTGCAGCAAGCCGAAGTTGAATAAATGTTGATGGCAACTGCTGCTGTGCTTTTATACTAGATCTTACAGCACCTCAGCCCTTGGACCTGTAGGCCCGATAACCAGTAACCTGCTGCCTTCGGCGTGTAGGCCTTTGACGTGTCCTGGACGTTAACAGACCACTGACTTACCTGAGACTGGACTGGACTGGACGAAACTGGACCCATATTTCTTGCAGGTGGAGTCGTAACAGATGGGCTATTATTTTATTGTGTCCCCTCTTCCGTTGTCTCGAGCTTGCGCACTCTCGGTTGCATTTTGCTGATATTCCGTTTGTCTAGCTTGCCCATGCCTCGTTTGCATTTTGCTGATATGCTCTCTCTCTCTCTCTTTGTGTGTGTGTGTGTGTGTGTGTGTGTGTGCGTGTGTGTTGATCTGGGTGTTTGTTTGTGGTTTACATGTTCTTTGGCCTACAGGTTCTATTGCTTGGACCCGGAAGCAGTGCTCAGGAGCGGTTTGACACCCTTGTGAACTTCTTGGAGCAGTTATGTTTCGTTTCTTATAAGCTGTTGCTTGAGCATATGGATGTAAAAGTAAAAGGGAGACCATTTGGAAAGGGGATGGGATTTATAAAGGCTTTTGGAATTTGCATTTGGGGCCGTAGTTCTGTTCATGTGATTCTGGTGGTGATAAGCGATTTGTCTTCTGTCAAGCCGAGTGAGTAGGAAGAAGTTTTGCCTGTCCATCATACAGCGAATGGAAGAGGTTTAGGGTAGTCATCGGAGGAAAGGGAACAAAGGAATGTGAAGAAACAGAGAAGGGGATTAGATGAAGAAAGCCGAGAGAGAGAGAGAGAGAGAGAGAGAGAGAGAGAGAGAGAGAGAGAACCCAAAGGCAAACATGAAAACAACTGTGGGAAAGTCGATCTTCGCTTTGGAATTGGTTTCGGAACTTCCATAGCAGGCGCCTGTGGACCCTCAGTCAACCTCAATGAAGGGGAGTAAAGGGGGGGGAGAGAGAGAGAGAGAGAGAGAGAGAGAGAGAGAGAGAGAGAGAGAGAGAGGTGGACAGGTGTTACAGAGTGGGACCATTGGGACCATTTCCTCACTGATACATGAGACTGTTGCTTGGTGGATTACATGTGTTACGAGTCAAAGAATGCTTTTATGTCACTCAGGATTTCCATCTTTGATTAATCATGTTGCAAGCCTGTACAACCACAAACTTTGTCAGGAGTTCGTCAAGCATGGTGAATGTGGACAGGCCACAAGAGGGGGAATGTTGGGAGAATGGAAAATAGCAAAAAGAGCAGTTTGTGTGTTTGTGGTAGGCTTAGGCTCATTGTTCGCTGAATGAGTTACTATGGATTCTGCTTGGAGCAGGTGGTGGGGTTTTCGTATCACGTCTGATACTTTTTTATTATGTATTCAATTCTCTTTTTTTCTAGGTTACCTGATCGGACGTCCGGGACGCCCCTGACCGTCCGGGGTTGTCCGCTCGGACAACCGGTCTGACATCCTCCCTTGGCAGACTGTCCGAGCCCGAACGGCAAAAAAAAAAAAAAAAAAAAGATAACGTCCTCAAAAAAATCTGAAAAAAAACTATGTTATGCAGAAACATAACCTGAACAACTTTTGCCTTGGGATCATACCGAAATTCGTTGTCAATTTTAAAATAAAAAATAAAATTAAAGGCACCCTCAATTGCTAAAAATGGAAATGTCCGGGTCCAGACGTCCGGGACTCCCCTGACTGTCCGGCCAAGACGTCCGGCCAGGACGTCCTGCCATCGGACAACTGGTAACATAGATAACGTCCTCAAAAAAATCTGAAAAAAAACTATGTTATGCAGAAACATAACCTGAACAACTTTTGCCTTGGGATCATACCGAAATTCGTTGTCAATTTTAAAATAAAAAATAAAATTAAAGGCACCCTCAATTGCTAAAAATGGAAATGTCCGGGTCCAGACGTCGGGACTCCCCTGACTGTCCGGCCAAGACGTCCGGCCAGGACGTCCTGCCATCGGACAACTGGTAACATAGCTTTTTTTCTGTTTTGATCAAACCACAAGTACGAGGACCCTTCTACCGAAATGTGCTTCCCTACACATGCAGGCTGCAGAAGTGTTGGTCTACTGGGCCCCAAGGGGGGTACCAGGGGAGCGTGGGGGGGGGGTGGAGATTGCCTCATATTTGTGGAGCCAAAATTTAGACTGCCTCGCCTTTGGCAGTTTTTCTATTCTCATTTTTTTTGACAATCAGGGAGAAATATTATGAAAAGGAATGACCACGAAGAAGAATTGGGTGCAAACTGAATGCATATGTCAATCACGGTCACTGTGATCTGGTAGGCCTGACCTTTGCGTTGTGGTAGGCCAGGGTCATGGACTTTTTAGGTTCAACAAAATAGGCTCTGCGGTATTTGTGGCAGTCCGGGGGTGTGGACATTTTAGGTTTGGAAAACAGGTTTTGTAGTGCAAATTACTAAATTAGGTTCTTTGTATTGTGTTCCTTTGATGTTCCTGAAAATTGTTGCACTCCCTGATTGAGGGCACAATGCTGGCGGTTTGTTAAGATATCCTAAGATTCCTAACATACCCTTGGCTGCTTCATTGGCTCGTTTGTCACCAGGTATTATCACCCATCTAATGGGGGTTCATGGACAAGCTCCCTGGAGCGTTTACTTCGGTACTTGGTATATTACTTTCACAAACGGCTTGCATATGAGCACAGGTGCGGCCACCTTCCTTTGCACAAGCCAATCAGACCCTGTCTTTCTCTCATCTGCACAGTGGATCGCACGGAAGGTTCGGCACACAAGAGAAGAACCAACAGCACGTCTTGTTGGCCGCAGTTGAGGAACAATAATACGTTGATGCTAGGCTACCAGCCAGGCCGCCCTGGTCACCTCTTTTTGGCTGGGTAGTCTGGCCGTGTAAGGGCCAAAGAATGTCCCAGCACAAAAAAAAAAAAAAAACCCAAAAAAATTGAAAAAAATTGAAAAACAAACTAATAAACTATGTTATCCAGAAAAAAATAACTGAATAACTTTTGCCTCAGGGTCACATAGAAATTCTTTCAAATTTTTAAAATAAAAAATAAAGTTAAAAAATATTCTTTTTTTTTTTTTTTTTTTTTTTTTGGCGCGGTCAGGAAAGTGGTCCCGGGCCACTCCGGTGGCCTAGGTTAGATGTCCTTTTTAGTTGTTTAGGGAAATTCATTTTATTCACGAAACACTCCTAGACTTCCTGTTCCAAAATTGAATTGATCTGCAGTTTTCCTTCTTTCTTCCAGTTACTTTGTGCATGCCTCAATGCCGGACATATGTTGGCCGTAATGTATGTCCGGAAGACGTCATGGAAACTCACTTAAGACGGTAGTGAAAACAACATCGAAACAGTCAATGCATTGTAATGCGCCCCTCCGAAGACTGAAGCCCACACACACTTGTTGGAAGCGAGCTTGGAAGTGTGAAGTAGCCGTAATGACTCCCAGAGTGAAAATATTTGTCCTTGGGTCTTTTCTTATTCATAATTCATATGTATTTTCCTGACTGGTGAGTGTCAGGGTGTCTGGGCTCGACAAACCAGACAAAAGAGGTCTCCCAGGCAGGTTCTGATTTGCTGTATCCCTGTAAAGATGGATGGTCCATCCTAAAGAGGTCTCCCAGGCAGCTTCTGATTCGTCTGTATCCTGGTAAATATTCTCTTTAGTCCATCATGAAGAGGTCTCCCAGGCAGGTTCTGATTCTTCTGTATCCCTGTAAAGATGGATAGTCCATCCTAAGGACGTCTCCCAGGCAGGTTCTGATTCGTCTGTATCCTGGTAAAGATGGATAGGCCATCCTGAAGAGGATAGTCCATCGTGAAGAGGTCTCCCAGGCAGGTTCTGATTC